AACTACACTGGCCAAATGTAATAGATATGATAATTGAAACTCTACGTCTGACAGTTCCGCTTCGATTCTTGACACTTCGCTAAGCAGACCTTGTCAGCTGTTCTTGGGTTAAGAACCGAAAAGAACACTAACAGCGAGGATATTCGCCCGACGACCTAAGGCAAAGTGGTTCTAGAATCTTTTAGTAGTTTGACTGTCATTCATAATTAAAATTACTTATTACTTATTATTGTAGATTTTTAGCGTTTTTTTTTCGAATAGAAATTATTGCATAATATATTATAAAAGCACTGTATGACTAGATGTCAAGTCAGGATTTATTTTAGGAAAGTTTACAGAAAAACGAGGAGTAAAGCCAGATTCATAGGAAAGCAATGTTGTAAATCACCGAAGAAGTTTTAGTTTGAAATGTTAAATATGTGTAGAGATTAAGTGTCGTTAAAGACGTCAGGCACATGGCCATATTGTGTTAAGCACACACAAGTATAGTAGATTTATTAATCACATCCTTAAATATTAAAAAAGCCATATACTTTTGCCCTGCAGCCCTTAAGCCCCATAATTCTGCTTCCTGAAGGTCTATAGAAAAGTATGTTTTTGTTTTAAAGTTCTCACTTACTGAATGAACAATATGTGGAGGTTTTCTGCCAAATACTGTTTAAAAACAAAATTGCCAAAAACTGGGAAAAAATTGATATATTTTACTTAAAATGAAGTTCAATAGGGTATTAGGCCTAAGATTTCCTAGCCAGTCAAAGGCAATACGTAAAGAAATAAAGGCTTCAGGACCTATGGAACAGACCCTCAGAATAATAGAAAAGGTTTCAAAAATAAAGTTCGGGAAATGACAAAAAAACAATAGCTGACGAATTTTATTATACAACAAAATTGATGACTTTCATAGCTTTCTGGGAAGAAAAAAATATTTTCAAAGATTTTTGGCTGTATCCCTTATCTAAAATAGATTCAACACACACACACACAGAGTCGACCAGTGAAATATCAATCTAATAACCTGGGAACTAGTAGTAGAATGATGTGTTATACAGGAGGTTTATAAACATTCTTAACGCAGGATCGTTCAGCATCCAATAAATATTGTCAGGTTCTAACATTCAGCAAAGGAATATTAAACATGTTTGTAAGGAAGAGATTCTAACATTCAGTAAAGGAATACCAAACATGTTTGTAAGGAAGAGGTTCTAACATTCAGTAAAGGAATACCAAACATGTTTGTAAGGAAGAGGTTCTAACATTCAGTAAAGGAATACCAAACATGTTTGTAAGGAAGAGGTTCTAACATTCAGTAAAGGAATACCAAACATGTTTGTAAGGAAGCGGTTCTAACATTCAGTAAAGGAATACCAAACATGTTTGTAAGGAAGAGGTTCTAACATTTAGTAAAGGAATACCAAACATGTTTGTAAGGAAGAGATTCTAACATTCAGTAAAGGAATACCAAACATGTTTGTAAGGAAGCGGTTCTAACATTCAGTAAAGGAATACCAAACATGTTTGTAAGGAAGAGGTTCTAACATTCAGTAAAGGAATACCAAACATGTTTGTAAGGAAGAGGTTCTAACATTCAGTAAAGGAATATTAAACATGTTTGTAAGGAAGATATTCTAACATTCAGTAATTTACTAGACTTTTTGGTCGATGTGATTACTACCGTACTGTTTATAAAGTCGTATAAAGCAACCATCCCATAATTAGTACTATACATGTTTCCATTGATATATTTACATGTTCAGCTTATCGTCTTATGAAGTAATTTACGTACCTAGGGTCCATTAAAGAATATTAACGTTTTATGGTTGACTTGCATGACTGTTGGCTAAATAGGTTCGTATTGTGGTTTATATTAAAATGTGGTTTCCAGAGAATTAAATGTTCTAAGCCTTTTCCTAGCTAGAGATTATAATTGTAGTTTAGTTAAAAACATACTTTTTAGTTTAAAGCAGTGAAAGTAATGCTGTTCCAAAGTTTTATCGTAGAGGATGTTACACGTTTTTATAATAATCAGAATGAGAATGTTACAAAGGTCATTCGTCTTCCTGGACGCTGCTGATGCAATTTCCGACTTGGCTTTTGTCACAGTGGAACTCTAATATAATATTGAAAGTCATTACAGTAAAATTTTATTACTTTAGATACTTTCAGCTGCCTTATCCTATTTGATACATTCTCTTATTATTCTATAATATAGTTATTTCTCCGGAAGCGATGGTGGCTCTCCAGAAAACTGAGCGAAACCAAGTAGCCGTCACTGTAGCGGTAACCATGACAACGGGACCTAATAAGCTAAATTGAGCTTTCCCGAACGGGCAGTTATTGGAAGTTAGTAATAATGGTGGTGTTCCTATAGGTGGCGTGTCTCGATGATGTTTACTTCTACACAAACTAGAATCTTCAAAGTTTTTAAAACCAATTCACTTGTGTCTAAGTCTAAATTATTATTATTATCCACTGTTTGATTCCTTCTTTGTAAAATTTGTAAGTCACAGATTAGGTGATTTGTTCAAATGATAAAGTTCGCTACTTTGCTGAAAACAAACTAGTCAGCATGCACTGAGAGAAGTTTACGATATATGAAGTCATACTGACAAAAATTATAACACATAATTATAAGACTGATGATTATTCTGAACAAATCTGTCTTTGGTGTCATTGTATAGATTTCCATTAACAACGACATAATAGTATTCCAACTACACTCCTAGGTAAACTTCTGTAAAAACGTGTTAAACATTATTATCAGTCTTATTGTAATGTAATGTTATACAAACTACTGATCAATATATCGCATTTTACTGTCAAAAGGTGTTATAAACCATAATAATCAGAATGTATAATGTTTTGTCACGACGTTATTAAAATTGTGTTTTTAACGTAATACATAATTGTTTTCATTGTACACGTACACATATTAATTGTTTTTGGTATTTGTTTGCAATATCTGCAAAAAATAAGCTGTGGTCTTATTCGTATTACTGAACTTCATAGTTTCAAGTTCGTAATCGAATGAAATCAATTTTGAGATTACATTGATATCTAGCAATACACTGTATATGTACGAATTACTAATATAGTAGTTAGTGCTGCCATCTATTGCTTTAAATTGATAACATGAATCAATATAGAATATAATTTGGAGTAGAAACGAGACACTAGACATATTATATTTATTCTACCAATAATAGATTAATATCTAATATTTTATGTAAATGGTCGGTGTTTTGACAGTTTCTTGTAATTATGAGGATTTCATAATACATTTTGATCATGACAGTTATTTTAGTGCGGGAGAATTATAAACAGACAAATATTTAAACGTGTGAATAAGGTTTTTATATACGAATGTAAATTTATTTATGAAACCCAAGAAATACATTTGTAATTATTTTTTGGATGTTACACTTTTTTTCTAACTTCAATCATGCTTCTATTCTAATAAGAACAAACTGTTTTCTAAAATTAACACAGTTTTGCTTACTTTATCTTCCTTCAATAATTAAGTAATTGAACGTAAATTATTGCACTTTTCTATATTATAATGTTTAAGATAAAGAAAACTTGCATGAACAGAAAGAAGGTATATCACTTTAAAATGGTTAGTAAATACTAGAATATGTGAAATAAAACTTTAAAATTTACTTAAATTATACTTACCAAATAAATCTTCGGTCACCATAATAAAATATGGTTTAGGTTTTGTTACTAAACGTAAAGCCCCCCACGTGGCACAGCGGTATGTCTGC